AAGAATTAAAGTTTGTCCTCAGAATTTCTTAGGTGAATTCAACACTGAAGGCTTTTCCCAACACATCAAGATAAGGCAGGAAGAAACACTGTATAGAGCAGGCAGTGATGTAGAGGAAAGACATCTTGATCTGGATTCCGAGGAAGATCCAGCAACTAGAACTCTGATTCTGCAACTTACTAGCTCTGGGCCTCAGTTCCCTCATTCATAAAATAAGGGGGCTGAGAGCCTCCAATGTCCTTTCTAACTCTAAAGACTATCATGATGCTAGAAATGCATCTTAAAGAGATTCTTCTTTCCTTGGCTCTGATTTGAGCACGAATGTAGCAGCTGCCCAGGAGATGGGTCACAAGTCAGTTGCTATGGCACCACAAATACTTGGAGCCAATCAGCTTCCTTCCTCTATGACTCAGCACAAGGTACCAACTGAGCATCCCAGTCAGCAGCACAGCTGTTAGTGAGGCAGCTACTTTTGATTAGAATGCCTCTGGTAGTCTTCTGAATACATACTACCTACCCCCAGAGAGCTGGGGAAAGTCCCAATTCATCAAAATAAAAACTACAGTGTTTTTTTGAGAGGTGGGGGGGGAACAGAGGGAGCAGGAAGACTGGTGGGGAAGTAGTTTCATCACGAATTTTTTTGGAAACCAGAATCCCAATAGGGCACTTTGCAGACCAGCCTCATCATGGACCTGAAGGGTACATCAATTTTCTTTCAAGTTTTTTGTCCCCATAAAAGGTTTGGTCTGCATGGTTCCAGATGCATGAATCAATGATATTCTCTCACCATGGCAGCATAAACCAACTTCTGGCCTGTGCCATGAACTCAGAACCTATCTTTAATGCAGCAAGAAAAGTCACAGCCATTCAGAGAATAAGAGAGCTAGAAGGAACCTCAAAGGTTACCTACCCCAACCTCTACACTTTACAGTGGAAGAAATTGGACCTCAGAGCAGGAAAGTGACTGGTCAGAAGTCAAAAAGCTGGCAGGTGGAAAAGCCAAGACAGCTACCCTTTCCTAGAGCATCTAACATTTCACACAACAACCCCATGAGGTAGGTAGCACCTGTGTTACCAAAGGTCAAGTCACTTAATGGCAATAGTAGGATTTCAAACCAGGTTTCATGACTCTGAGACAGGTACTCACAATAGCCACAGACTCTTAAGTTCTAAAAGATTAGGGGGTATTTCAAGATTCATAACACTTTTACTTAAGGGGAAGATAACATGTGCATAAAAAAGAAGGTACTTGACAGGACCCAAGTTAATTAGCTCTCATTCTCTCTCTCTCTCTCTCTCTCTCTCTCTCTCTCTCTCTCTCTCTCTCCACACACACACACACACACACACACACATGAATATATATGCATTATATATGTGTGTTTATATATATATGTGTGTGTGTGTGTGTGTATATACATATGTATATATTTCTAACCATGATGATATCAGCAAATTAAAACCAGAGTCTTTACTGAGTAAACCTGTCCTGATCATAGAGGTTCTGTCTTTATTCCATCTTATCTGCTGATCATATCATGGTGCCAAGAACAAGCCTTGTCTGTTTTCCAAAGACCAGACTAAGTATGGTCAGGTTTTTCACCAGCAGACTGGCCATTTTGTGTTGAATGATCTGACCACAGCAACTCATTAAACAAGAACAACTGCCTTCCCTCTGTTGATTATTTTCTACGTATTCTGTATACAGTTTGATTGTACACAGTTGCTGGCATGTTGTCTCCTCCATTAGATGGTGAACTCCTTGAGGGCAGAGATTGTGTTTTGTCCTTTTTTGTATCCTCAGCATTTATCATGATACATAGCACATACTTCAGTCAATTTGGCACATTTCTCATCTCCATTCCCTCCCTTTCTCCCCAGTGCCATCACCCCAGTATAGACTTTCATGACCCCTGCTAGAATAGCCTGCTTCTAAGGTCTTCCCACTCCCCTCTCCACTTCATTCCTCATCCACTCCCCCAAAATCTTGTTATCACACTGATCTGGTCATATCACTCCCCTGCTCAAAAAACTTTGTTTTCCATCTCCTACTCACTCAAAAAAAAAAACAAAAACAAATTTCTCAGTTGGGCATTCAAGGCTCCTCTCTGTTCTGATGCCTCACTACTGTCCCTGACTTCTCTCATCTCCAAGCATTCTACACCCCAGTCAAACTGGACTGTTTGCTTCTAAACATAGTCCATGTTTTCCCATCTCTGAGGCATTTCTCACCTTCTCTTATGCCTCCAATGGCCTTTTCCACCCTAATCCCACCTAATGTAATTATATATTTGTATGTGTATGTGTATATGTATATGAGCATATGAGTATATGTGTATATATGTATATATGTGTACATGTGTATATACATATACATAATATATTATAACAGTAATTATATATTCTTTGAGGGCCAACTCAAATGCCATGTCTTCCAGCAATCTTTCTTTAACTCCCACAATGAAAAACAATCTTTCCTCCCTAAGACTTCACATAACATTTTGTTTGCACCTTTATTATGCGCTTATCATGTCCCACTTCATACTGCATATGTCTGTGCATCCCTGATAGGCTATAAGTTCCACATGAGTGCAGTTACTATGCCTTATGTATGGGGATGTTCTGGAGCTGCCTCAGACTGACTTCTGAGAGCCAATTGTTAAAGTTTCAGTGTGAGCATTTACACCTTGGAAACTGGCTTGAAATTGGAGCTTGATTTATGTTTTGTTGATTTCAAGACTTAAGAAAGTGATGGATTAAACTTAAAAGTATATTGTACATCTATTTTTTGTTTTGTTTTTTCCTGGAGACCCAGTTGTTCCCAGCGTGTTGCTGCTTATATTTCTTTGTACTTTTGCTAGCACCTACCACAGTATTGTGTTCACAGTAGATAATACATATTTATTGAATTAAATTAGAGTCGTGTATGAATTGAGAGGAACCAAACAAGGGCCCTTGCCTGAAAGCTCTCTAGCCTATACTGTCTAAAAAATCCACCATTAAAGAGTCATTCCTTTGGGTCTCAAAGACTTTCCATTCTTCAAAGGTCCCTTGTTAAATCACAGCAACCCTTGGCTAACACCATAAGTAGATATTAGCAAATACTTCATCAAGGATTGGTTAAAAATCAGCTAAGAATGAGACCCGATGAGAAGGGAAGAGGGAAGGATAAGTGCTTAAGAGGGCAGGGGTGCTAGGACTGAAGAGGAAGATATTGAAATGAAGTCAAAAGCCAAACTTGATTTCTCCCCTTTCTCATCCCAGCCTTGTCTGGTTCCATACTTCCAAGAACAGACTTGTGGGGTGGTGGGTTGGAAGAAGAAGCTGGAGCAGTGAGTTGCAGGAGGTGATTTACAGTCTTCAGCAGCTGCTTTCTGAAACCCCGGAGGGTCTCTCTGCTGTGGGGCTAAAGTCAGCTGGCTGCTGTGCCAGGCTCTGCCTCTTCTCCCTGCGATTGCCCTCTAAGTCACAAGGAGGGGGAAGGACTCCAAAAAGACACTTTTCAGCAATGGAGCCTGAGATCAGACCTTGCCACAGGTAAATTACCCTTAGTGAGCTCCAAGACCCAAATCAGGTTACCAGCTCACTCCTTTTACCCACAATTCAATTCAGTTCAGTTCAACTGAACAAATACCTGTTAAGTACCTACTAGGTTGTAAGACATCGTCTCTGTCTCTGCCTCTGTCTCTGTGAGTGTCTCATTGTTGCTTTATCTCTCTCTCTCCTTTCCTTGAACACTAAGAGTGAAATCCAAACACTCACAATTCACTGGCACCAAAACCAAGAAGTTCTTCAATTTCATTTGCTTTCCTCTTGTGTCAGTTACCTTGGCTCCAACAGAGGGAACCTAAAAACATTCTTCATTCTGGCTCTTGCCAAAGAAGTCCCAATGTCCAGCCCCACCTTCACAAAAACAGAAGCCTGAAATTCTGATTTACACAGCACCTCTTGTGACTAGAATATCCACCTCCTGCTCAAGGTCAGATACTGAGAAATTCATTCTCTTTCTGAGTGATTGATACATTTCAATTGCTTATTTTAATAAATGTCTAAAGCATTCACAAATGGACAGAGAATAAGTAGCATACCCTTCCTCCCCTCCCCAAGTCTCTACTCTCCTCCCAAGATACTCAAGACAGGACATTCCCATAAAAAGAATGTAAGTTCCTGAAGGGACAGGACTGCTTTGTTTTTGTCTTGATATTTTCAGAGCTCAGAGAAGCAGCTATGGTATAATGGATAGACTGTTCAATGCTTGACCCCCTGGGTTTCCACATCCCCTTAATGCCAGACATGATCCTGTAACAATGTCCTATCCTTAAACAGGACATAAGGACCCACAAAAGCAGCATCGGGTCAAGAAAACAATGGCCATGAATATGAAAAAAAGGACTTCAGGAAACCACCCAAAGTAACCTGCTACACATCCTTCAGACAACACAGAACTAGCACCAGAAAGCATCAATAGTCTCATGACATGCTGAGACTAATGTGAAAAGTAAAGCAAGCACCAGTGTGGAGAAGCTTTAGGTCCAGCTACTAGGATATCTACTTTGACATGAACCCAGCAGTCTCAACTAGGAAATCATCAACAAAGGGAGAGCTACAGAAGGGGCTTTGAATGGAGGTGTGGGGATGGGGAAGTAGAGGTGGGGGGAGAGATCAAAGTCTAATTCAAAATCCATCTTTATTTTAAATACATGATTTGGGATACTTCCACAAAATAACCCATGGATTTAATCACTCGCATTCATGATAAGAAACAAGATCAAAGTCATACTAAAATGCACGGATCATGTGGTTATCAGCATGTGGGTCTGTTCATTAAACACTTTTATTCGGTAACTTGTATTCTAAATTAACGAGATACAAGCAGGGCTTTGGCCACCTCTTGTGCACCATTTCCTCCTTTTAAAGCTCCAGAGGTTCAGTCTCCACGAAGACTCCCTGAAACCACTCAGCCAAGGGGTGAAAGACAAGTGATAGTCAGGCACCCTTACCTCCAACCCCATCTTCAGAGTCAACTTCATAGATGCTTTCACCTTCCATATTCTCCACGAGAGCCAGGTAAGGTGTGAAATTTCCCGGTGATGACCTGTTCAGGCTCCAGAAGAAAGTTGAATCCACCCACTCTGCATCCAGCAAGTAGTATCTTTCAAACAAAATGTGAAAACAAAGCCATTGGATAATTTCGGCCAAACATGGGAAAAATTCCCACCACCCCCACCAAAAAGAAGAAAAAATGGTCAGGGAATTTCGGCATTAATCAGTTCTCTACTTGATGACCAATATCTTTGACTTGAGCATCCTTTGATGGTTTCAGGACATGGATGGGTATTGGCAACGGAGAAAGAATTCCACCGTGGTTTATAGGCATATTCCATCACCTATTGGCGAAGATTCCGGAATGAATTGTAATAGACAATCAAAGATCACAATGTCTCTAGAACACACAGATAGACAGATGGAAAGATAAAAACAGGGGGAACCTGAGAGAGTAAATCCAATGTCCCTCTCCAATAACTCTCCTGAATTGAGCGGGACATGTTCCTATAAGTGTTCTGGGATGGATCATAAAGGGCAATCCATGTTTGTAACCTCCTTATCCAGGATTTTTGGCTTTGCTTAATGTTGGGGGTCATTCTCTTGGCATGTAGGCAGTTTTCAGGAGGCCCTGTACTTGAATGAGAAGTTTCCTCACTCAGAGGTAGGAAAAAAATCTTGCAGTAAGTGAAGTTGGCTGGATAAAAGGGAGTTTAGGTGAGTTGAAGATCTTCAAGGATGGTTTCATGAAGATGTACATTTGTCTCAAGGGCCAGTGGGGTTTTTTAAGGTGTGGTGTTTTTTTCCTAGACTGAAAAAAAAAAAAGTAATCTGTGATAAATGCAAAAAAAAAGAAAGAAAAGAAAAGAAAAGAAAAGAAAAGAAAAGAAAAGAAAAGAAAAGAAAAGAAAAGAAAAGAAAAGAAAAGAAAAGAAAAGAAAAGAAAAGAAA